GGGTACTAGCTGATAACATGGCCCTGTGCTGCGTTTGGCAGAAGCACTTCTTTTTCTTTTTTCCAAGAGCTGAACCAGGTTCTGGATCACAAGACCTTTAGAATGAACAGCCAGCAATTTTTTCCTCTGCAAAAATGTGGTGCCTGCCTCTTCTCTGACCTCACACTGGAGACGGGCCCTGGGGGCTGTAGCAGGGCTACATGGTAGAGTTTTGTAGAAATCACCGTTGAAGAAGGGGGTGCATTAATATTGCATTTGAACTTTGCCCAAGATGTATGTGCACATCCCTCTGTGACTTCATAAATATTCCAGAGCGTTGGACAGAGAAAGGAGTGACAGTTACGGTAATCACAGCCTCCCCGTCAGAAGGGCCCGTGGCCTCGAGGCCAGTCATGATTTGGGTCGAGCTCAGCCTGCTAAGAAGCCACCAGCAGAAGAGCTCTCTGGTCCCAGCACTTACGTCCCCCTGAAACTAAAGCGTCGACTCCTGAATGGTGGATTCCAATAAAGGCAATAATTTGTCTCCAGCTGGTGCGATTGTTAAATTAGATGCCTGTTGGGTCTCCAGAAGTAATATTCTCCTCTCAGCCACAATGAAACCGCCCTGTCTTGGGGACCACTAACTCAACCCAGGCAAAAGGTTCTCAACTTGAAGCCTAAGATTTTCAATGACAGTAATTTGCCATACGGAGGCATGAAAAAAAGTTCCAGAGATACATAGTAAACCAGGGGAGGAAAAAGAAATCTCAACAGAAGGCTTAAGCCATTTCAGTATTGTAATAATTATTCTTCTAATGTTTTAATCAAAGGAAGCAGCCTGTCTCTCTCCCCTCATCTATATTCAAGCCACCACACTTTGTAGGTGTTAATCTCCACGCCTTCGGGCTGTTAGAAGGGAGCGGAAATTGGCAGTCCCTGAGCCACAGAAGCCTGGAGAACAGTACCTGGCACTGCCCTTAATTATCTCGATTATGGTAATGTGTGTTGTTTGTCAACAGCTCGGAAGAGCCGGGACTGCGAGGCAGTTGGGGAAATTGGTTTTTACATGTAGGTTTGGGCAATAAAGGTTTTCTTTCCTTTGTAATTAAAAAAAAACTCATTAAAAATGGATTTTGTATTTATAAGAGTGAAAGAAGAAACCCAAGGTGGCCCATAATCCCAGCTAGCATGTCTTTTCTTAAAGCCATTTGTCCAATGTGGTTTCAATAGTTTACATTCTTCTTCCTCACAAGTGACCAGACTATAGGTATGTATGTGTGTGTGTATAAACACAGAGGATATAGGAGATGAAATAATTCATTTTCTGGGAGCTAAGTAAATACATAAAAGTTGCACTAAATAAAGTATAAAATCAGTATCACATTCATTCAAAACCATTTGGGGCTAGGCATTTTAAAACATAGCCATGCGATTTAGTATTCAGAACCCTGCCCCTGGTTGTTCTCAGAGCAGTATAGCAGAACACAGAACATGATTCCTGGGTCCGTCTTTTTGTTCCCAGTGCAGACAACCCTTCGAGAGACCACGGAAGTGAATTTGACTAACAGCCATTGGGACCATTTCCAGTCACAAATGGAACACGTGCAGGGTGGGTCCCCACGTCCACAGGTGAGCAGAGAACTACACGTGCCCATTTCCTCGAGCCTTCACTGAGGAAGGAGTGTCGGGCCCTTCGGTACCTGTCCAGATTCAACTTTTTCCCAGAATATTTTTCCAGTTGCCAGGGCTGCTCCCAGCATGAACACAAGGAGCAAGCTGGGTTTGTTGGAGAGCTGAGGCTCCCGTTTCAACAACCCTCTGCCTGTTGAAATGAGCTAATCAGACGGTTGGTTCCCACCTGCCAGCTCGGGGCACCCCTGTGCTGTGGCTTGCCCGAGAGCCCGGAAGAGTAGGGAGCAGACAGGGCCTGCGTGGACAGGGGCACGTTCCCATTCTGCCCAAGGCACCAAGGGCACTGGCGTCTTCTTCCTGAGGGGCCCTCTAGATGTGTGACTGCCTTGTGAAAGGGTCCCCAAACAGCAGTGTCGACACAAGAAAGAGTGAGGTGTCCGTGTGAGGCCTGGATCTAAGCCCCACATCCCATGGAGCAGCTGGGGGCCTGGGCAGGTCACTCTCCACTAGCTGACCGGGTTGGGTAAGACCTTTCACACCTTTCACCGGGCTGAGTAAGTCCCCCAGCATTTCCAAACCACGTTCCCAATGCAATATCTCCCGCTGGGTCACTTGTAAAGATGAAAACCAAAAACAAACACGTTTTATTTTTAAAACGTTACAAGCTCTCAAATGCTGAGTGAACTTGACTTTCCTCCCTGCTTCCTTTCAGAGCAACCCTGCCTCTTCACCCGCAGGGCTCTTACTGCCACGGGGGAGGGACAGGCCACCCTCACAGAGCCATTTCACTCCAGTGTGTACACACCAAGCCTCTCTGTTGAGCTGAGATCCGCCGCCTGGGTCCTGTGTCAGAACTTTATTCCACACAGAAAAAACAAGAACTGTCTCCCTGTAAAGGGTCCCCCAAGAGAGCTGACCGAAAACCAGGGGAGTCAGGCACGGCGGCCTCTGCATCCACAGGGACCTGCAGATTCCAAAGTGCAGAGGGAAAATATCTGGGAAAAAATCGTGTCTGAAGTGAACCTGTATAAACTTGTCCCCGACGCTGGCTCTAACCAACTAGTTACAGAGCATCCACGTCCTGTGAACCAGAGATGCTGGAAAGTACACAGGAAGATGTGCACGGGTCACATAGGACAAATGCCACCCTGTTGTATATGAGGGAGTGGAGCACTGGCAGGTGCAGTATTCAGGAACCGCCTATCACAACCCCCGAGGATGCCCAGGGACCGCCATGTCACACGAGATGTCCTGACTGAACACTGGAGCCTCGGGTTTGCCATGTCCCCTGCTGGAGAGAGTCTGGGGGTGGTGGTGGAGGGTTTTCCTGCTCTGCAGTGGGTTGGCGTGTGGTGCACCATGACATCTGGGGTGGCAGGGGACCCCATTCTCACTGTCACCTTCTCTCTGTTCCCCTAGCTGCTATTGGGTTGTCAGATACAATACAGAACGCCCAGGTAAATTGGAATTTCAAATAGATGACAAATAGTTCAGAACAAGTGTGTCCCAAAGACTGGTAAATCTATCCCTCCTAAATGACTGCCAGGGCAGAGGAACCATGGAATCGTAGATCTTTTTTTCTCTTTTTAAGGAAGGGGAACCGCCAAGCTCTCCTCTCACTTCTTCCCCTTATGTGTGGGAGCAGCCGCGGAGCAAGAAGCCTTCACTCGCGGTGACAGAGCCAGGTCCAGGATCCCACAAAGGGGCTGTTTTCTACGGGAGCGGTTTTGTGACTGACTTTTTTTAAAGCGATTTAATACAAAACGCTCTCAATTTTTCTGAATATTTATACAAATGGCTGAGCTGTGATTAGGGGGTGCTGTGTGCATGGAGCCTTTGTGCGTTGGTGGCCCCAGAAACAGCAAGAACTAGAAGGTTCCTTAAGGACCCTCTTCCCAGGAGTCTGCTGACCACAGGAGGAAGAACAGGAGGGAGTTTTTCCTGAGGTCATTTCCCAGGGTTTCCGCCACCCTAACTGGAGATACTTGTGTCTTCTAGCAAGGGGCAATCTAGAGAGGGTTAAGAAAGCAAGTTGGCCAGGGCAAGATTTATACCCAGAACACCGAACCTGAGTGTCGTGCTTGCTCTGGGTCACAACCCTGGCCCTCTGCCTAGACCTACCTGCAGACTCTGGACACTCCCGCACAGCGAGGCCCCCGTGGGCCTCCACCCACCACACGACTCGCTTCCTTCACTTGGGAATATGGAGACTGGGGTTTGTTTGGAAGCACATCTCTAGCTCAAGGTCAAAGCATACAACAAACCAAAGAGTGTGGCATAGTTAAAGCTGGGTTTGAAAGAAGGCAGGAGCCCACTATGGGAGACTGGGGGCATGTTCAAGGCCTCAGCTTTGTGAATATAAACCAGGACTTCTTTCCTCTTCAAGTGTCTTCCACTGTGCCCTGGGAGACGCTTGCTACACACAGGACATGATGAAAAGAATGCTGGGTGACAAGGTTGGTCTCGTCACTTTTCCCCACACTTAGGAGCTGGCCCAACAATTTGACTCTGTCCTGGCCGGGTCTGATGTCTGCAGAGTGCCCTGGGAACTGTGTTGATTGCACCGCCTCCGGACTTGCTTTTAACAGCACACGGCCCCCGCGGACTTTCCCCAGAATGTTCCACAGTCAGCCGGAGGCCCCCTGGCAGGCCATGGGTGACTGCACAATCTCACACCTGCCAGTGCCGGAAAGTTCTGGAAATAGGGACTCTGTGCCAGACATTCCTTTGGAGCAATCCACTTAATCCGGGCCTCGCTCTCCTGGCCATGGGGTGAGTTAAAAAATTTTTGAACTAGTGAAACGTTTTGCAGCCACGGTTGGCGACAAGCAAATCCGAGAACAGATGCAGATGTGAGCGCCTGGCGGGTCTTGCCTGGCCTCTGCCGCCCGGCTCAGGGCCTCTCTCCCAGCCTCACTGTGGGGCTGCACCTCCACCTCAGGCACCCTGCCCTCTGCTCTTGGTGACCCTGAAAGACAGAGCGATGTGCACGGTACTTCCCTGTGTCTTCTCTCAGGTGATCCCTCTGGCTGTCCTGGGAGGTGGGAGGACACACACAGATGATGAGCTGGAAGGGGAGAGGGTGCCATCTTCAGAGGGGAAAGTGACCTTTTCCTGGACTACACACGTCCTCGTGGGTAACACCTCACAATCTAAAAGCGACGACCAGGGAATATGGCCACAGCTTATACCTGGGCCCACTTATGGCCTTTTTACTGCTGGTCAAGGGTCTGACCTGTCCAGAGCCCTTCAGAGGGACCGCACACGTTGAAATTGGAGGAAGGAAGCAGGTTTCTTCTATGAGCTTCCAGAACCCCGTCTGGCTCCCTGTAGCCTTGGTCATGCTTTATTAGAACTGACTGCTGAATCATCTTCATCGGATATTTTATAGAAGGAAGGCCCGATGGGATGGAAAACTACCTCCCTGCCCCGACCAACACCTGTGTGAGCAGGGCCCTGGACGCACGCTTCTCCCTGACCATCTGAATGGGTATGCTTCTCACGTCTCTAAGAATTTGCTTCTTTTCCACTGGAAGACACTCATACCCTTTTCGCTACTCTGTGACTCACTCACTGTCTCTTTCTTTTTTCTTAAAAGTACATCATATTATCAAACTCCACGGGGTAGAGTGATGGTGATATTTCTTATTCACCTGGCAAAGTTTATGGCTGAGATTCAGCAGTAAAACAGATTAATGGAAAAGCACAGCCAACATATTTAGTACAAGTGTTGTGTGACCCGGGAGCCTTGAGCAAGGAGACCAGCCCAGGTGCCTTCAGCAATGGAGGACCCAGTGGAGGAAAGCAGGCCAGGGCTTGGGCTTAAGATCCAAAGGTCCTGGGGACCACAGTGACGGTGATTTGTTCAGATTCTTCCCTGTGTCTGAGTCTTCCTCTCCTGTGGAGAGGGGCAGGCCACTGTCACATGAGAGTTTCCAGGGGAGACGGTCATACGGCCTTCCTGCATCTGCCGTTTTCTCAAACACCAGGGAGCCACATTTTGGGGTAATGTTTCCTGCACTTCTTTATCAGGATAGCCCTGAATCTAATTTTTCCTAATTTTATATGCATACATAAAAAATAAATACATTATCACCTTTATGGGACACTATCATAGGAGAACTAATGGATGCCTAGAAGTTCTCATGATGTGATCGTCTCATAATTCCTCTTTGGATCTCTGTCTCCTACCATCATGAGCAAGTCTGCAAAAAACACTGCCGACTGTCCTGAAATACTATGTCTATGGGGCAAATTCCCTGCAGTGCCCAGTTGAAGTACATCTGCATTTTATTTTTTATAGGTGTGACCAGACTGCTTTCCTAAAGCCCTGTAACAATACTTCTCCTTCCTGGAGATCCTTCCCGGAGGATCCCGGAGCACCCTCTCCCCCACAGCTGGCTGGTGTCTCCGGTCTCCTTTCCCCAGTTAATGGGTGTACAGTGGCACTTCCTGGTCACTCTGCATTTCCCTCACTACTAAGGCAGCTGAACCTCTTTTCAAAGTCTTTCTGGAATATTTGAATTTTCTTTACTTTGAATTCTCTGAACTTGCTTAATGGCTTTTCTCTCCCAGGAGCCCAGACTTTATCAGGGCAGGGGCCAAGTGCTTCCATTAGTCTGGTTATTTCTGGTTCCCAAAATATTTACCGGCAAACAGTAAACACTTGATGAAAAATTGTTGAGCGAACGTATGAACATCCTTCCGTCCCTGCCATCCTCCTGCCAGGAGCTTCATTACAGACACCATGACATGTGTGCAGGGATTGACCAGCAAGGACGATGACCACAGCACGGCCACCACTGGAAGCCACCGGACAGCTGGACAATGGTGTTACAAAATAAAGCAGGTAAGAAAGAAATGGACAATGACCACAACACTCAGCTTTTATTCAGCACCTGCCTTAGGCAGCACATTAAAAGCTTTTAGTAAATTCTTTTGTTTAATCCTCACAATAAACCTATTAAATGTTTAAAAAGTGATTATGACACGTATGTACAAGTGATTCTAATCATTTAAGGAGACACTTCTATAGGCATAGATAAATAACTGGAAAGATATACACTGAATGGTCAACAGGAGTGCATTTCTCTGAATAGAAATGTACGGATCATCTTTATTTTCTTTTTTATACCTACTTTTCTCAGTCTCTTCTATCTTCTATAATAAAAAAAGAAGGAAAAATTGTTAGCTATCCCTTAATGGTATTTTAATATCTAGCTATTTCTTTTTGTTGTTTTTAATAAGTAGCATATATATATATATAATTTATATATCTTAAGAATATATATGTACTCTCTTGTACACACACACACACACACACACACACACACTCCTGCAATCAGCTGCTGAATACCCAAGGAAATAGCTCATTGGCCGCCTCATTTTTCCTAGGTAATGTATGTCCCGGGGCTTGTTTCCCCGCGAATGAGGTATATTTGTCTCCTCTGTCTTTTAGGGTTGGCCTCGGGTCCATTAATCATTCTGTCTGGAGCCCAAGGAGAAGCGTCCAGGAGCAGGAGGAGGGCCAGAGCCGTGGGGCAGCGGTGATGAAGGTGCCCTCCGCGGGGAGGCGGCCGGGGCCTGGATGGAGAGGCCATGTCCCACCTCGCTGCGCTGGCCACACCCTCCTGAGCGCTTCCTTCCCTTACTGTCCTGGGAAGTGAACGGGGCTGTTCTCTCCGAGTTCACAGAGACTGGAAAAGGACTGGAATCCAGACACCAGAACTGAAGTGCGGGACTGCCCACCCTCCGCCTCCAAATGGACACGTTCAAAGAGTGAAGGCAGAACGCGCTTCCTCTGGTGCTCTCCGTGCGTCCTGCACCCTCAACAGAAGCTGCTGGGCGCGATGCCCCTCCCCGCCCTGTGGACATCAGGCAAAGCCCAAGGCGAGTCCAGGACCCAGGGAAAGCCACACCAAGACACAGCAGAAATGCTACAGTCAGCCCCAGGGAGTTAAAGTCTAACAGATACAAGAAGGGTCCTCTGAGGACCCTGCAGCAGAGAGGCCACTGTCCCTGTGTCCCATCTTTCTGATGGCACACACCAGTGTGAACTAAGGTCAGGGATCAATGAAAGGCCACCTGGTGGCTGGGGACCCACACACCTTGTTAATATGCCTAAAATAAATCTGGGCCTGGGAGTTGTGTCTGCGGGAATTAATCGCCCCTGCTAGACACAGGACTTGTCCCAGTGGGTCAAGGTCCTCACCCAGGGAAGTGGGGAAGGGTGAACCCTGAACAGAGTCAGGTCTTCAGCTCTCCATGGCCTCAGTCTCCTCCCTTAGCAGTGTAGCCTTCCTCCAAGAAGATGGCATTCATGGTTCACCCTGCACAGCAGACAGATCAACCTGAGTATCCACTTGTATTTCATGGAAATTCTACATAACATGGGAACCTTCCAATCTGAAGCCCCAGAGGACCAGGGACAGCTATGCACTCTCACACTTAGGTTGGATGAGGAGTGGACAGGGTGGTGGGGGGGGGGAAATGCATGCTCGCAGAGCTTTGCTGTGATGGGAGTGAGCTGGGAACTTGGAGCCTGTGTCTTCACCCATAAGGACATGCCCTCCTCTGGGCACACAGAATCACCTCTCATCGAGGTCTCATGGCCTGCTTCAGGAGAAGGTCAGAGAATTCTTCCATGGCCTGCTTCAGGGGAGAAGGGTGGGAGAAGGTCAGAGAGACCTTCCTGCCTCTGCTGTTTTCTCAAATGCCAACTCTTCCTGCTCGGGGATGGCATTTCTGGAACTCTATCTCTGCCACAGTCTTCCTCCAGCCGACCCCAGGGGCCCACTCCTGACTCCCCTGGCACAGTGCTCGAGGGATCTGTCCCTGTCACAAATGGGAAGCACCATAAGCCATGGGCCCAGGAGGTGGAGCAGCAGTGGCCACCTCTCCCTAGGAAGCCCCCCCAGTGCCCGGAGCCCCCAGCACACACCTCCTTCAGTCCTTGCTCCTGAAAACATAGGTGCCATGCGGGGCCACCTGCACCTGCTCCGGGAAGCAGATGATGCGTACTGCAGGAAGTCTGGGAGCCAGAGGGACCCCCCCAGGGTCTGACCCAGCCATGCTGCAGCCGGGCTCTGGTTTATCCAAGAGTCTGTTGCTACACGGGCCCCCAATGCCTGGGTTCCCCTCCCAGCCTTCCGACCACTCGTGTCGAACACAGGCAGTTCCCAGCCCTGTGCCTGTTCCCTGGCTGCAAGATGGTAGTGCAGATGCCCCCGGAGGACTGAGGGAGCTAACTTGTTGAAAACACGAAGAGGTGTGCTGGGCCCACTGTGGTCCCGGTCATTCACTGTTTGCTCTTAATACTTCAGAGTACAGAATGGATAGAGGAATACTGATTTTAAAAAAGAAAAAAAAAACTAAACTAAAAAAATGCCCCCAAACGAAGCTGCCGCACAGGTCAGCTGTGGCCTTCAGAGACCTCAGGGGCCAGATCCCTCCAAAGTGAGCCAAGAAGACCAGCAGAAACTGAGAAAGAGATTTGCCAAATAGGAGTAAAAGAAATCAGGCTGAGGGAAATGCAAAACTGCATGTGGACATAGTGTGTCACCTGGTGATGCCCCCGCCCCACCCCACACACAGGTGTAAGGAGGAAAGGCAGTCACCCTTAGGGGACATCCCAGGTCGTCTGGGAAGCTGAATCCCTCCATGGCAGATAGTCACAGGGTGTTTTTGGTGTTTGTAGAAAGAACTCCAAGAGCATTTAATCAGCAGATGGAAACTTCAGGACCTTCGCATGCACTTGCTGGAGACCAACAGCATAATGAGGAAGGGGTGGGGGGTCCCATGACTATTCAGGGTGTTTTTCCACGGGAAGAAAGTTCTCTTTGCCCAGGGCTTCCTTTACCGGCGTCCCAGGCAGACGCTGTAACCCGGACTCCGTTCCCCTTTATTCCTAGTGCACTGGGGCCTCTGCCTCCTTCTGGATTCCTCGACTCAGGATATTCATCATTTCAGGGACTGACTTTGCCAGGAGCACTTCGGTATCAAACAGAAAACAAAAATAGATGCACTTCACAATGATCCGAGGGTTGTTGTATGTCTGAATCTGTTTGATCCCCCCAACCTTTTTTTTTTTATCTCTGCTGTTTGAAATGATCACTGGACTCTCCTGAGAAGCTTTAACTCATGTTAGACAATTAAACAGATCCCTGGCATCACCAGGGCCATCTGCCATCTGGGTGGCCCGGGAGCAAGGTGATGGAGCCAGAGGTGGTGACGGAGAACGCTTGCAGCTGTGAAGAGCTTTGACGATCTGTCTCCCCACAACTTCTAGTCCACATGATACCCCTGGAGCAACCCTGCTGAATCGGCCTTTTGTGCTAAGATTGCGTGGGCTTTGGCCCCAACCTTCTTTCTCACGTTTCTTAAATTAGAGGAAGACAGAGCCGAAGACGTCACTCCAAAGACATAAACTCTCTTGTCCACTATCATCACAGCATCGTGTGTTCCTGAGAACCCAGGCAAGGGGCATATCGAAATGTGACAATCCAGGGACCCAGGAGCATCCGGGAGCCCCAGGCTCTGAGCACAGCCATCTGCCTGGACAGGTAACTCGGAGCCCTGAAAGGTCAACAAAGGTGCCAAGATGTGTGAGGGTGCAGAGGGATTCTTCTGCCTTAAAAAAAGAAATCCCGTAACGGTACCTCTGCATCTATAAAAGTATGTATGCATCTAGAAGCAATGGTGGGCTTTGTGCGCTGGTATCAGTAGACACAATGAAATGGTAGCAATGCAGACCCTTTAGATATTTATTTGTAAGTAGTCTGGTTCCAGAAAAGATTTGGGCAGCTCAGAAGAACACATAATTTAAAATGAGATGTTACTTTGCTTTTTAAATTGAGGTATAACACATATGACAGGTGAGCTATATACCATCTTAACCATTTTTAACTGCAGAGCTACAGAGTGTTAAGCATATTCACGTGTCTATGCAACCAAAGTCCAGAACCTTTTCATCTTGCAAAGTTGAAATTCTATATCCATGAAGCAACTCCCCATTAACAAGTTGCTTTTTGTAACCAGTTTGTGGATTACTTAATGAAAATTAAAAATACTTTAAAAAACATAGCATAGTAATGGTCTTTGCTGATCTTTGCTGTTCCTTAAAGCTTTGGACTTGGGAGCGTTTTAAAAAAGGTCAGCAAGGAAATCAGATCCAAAGACCAGCACAGGAAGCAGTAGCATGAAGTCTGTTGCTCTAATATGTAAAATGCATATGCTGAGGTTCCATACGTTGCCAGAGCCAGGCCATGGATTTCACGGGAGGCCTGATAGCAGGCTGGTGTAAACAGAGAAGGACAGGCAGTTACAGAGAGCCACAAGCAAATTCGCTGACCCTGAGACCAGCCAGAAAATTAGTTTCAGGAAAGGCAATGGGCAAGAGGGGTGCACGTGATCAAGGGTGTGTGCGAGAGGGGTGCACGTGATCAAGATAGAGGAGCTGCAGGGGTGGAAGTAGATAGACCCTGGCAGGAGCCTAAGGAAACCAGAGTATCCTCCTGGAGTTCACAGATGGTAGGATTGTGAGCACTTTGCTTGACTCGGGCTGGGGTGTGAGAGTTTGAAGTCTCCAAATACTAAAAAATAATAAAGGTACAAGGATGTTAGAGTCTGTAAACAAGTCAAAATAACACCTGGCATTTTGCCAGGGGAATGTTAGAGTTCGTAAACAAGTCTGGATGGCGCCTGGCAAAATGCCAGAGGGAGTGGTTTGAGAAGTAACAAAAGCGAACCATTAAGTGTGGAGATTCCTTATTGGTTGACTGCTGTATCTAGTTTATGCTAATTAGATAAGCTGTGTGGAATGTATAAATACTGCTCCTGTCCTGCAATAAACGGCTCCTCCTCCTGCTGTATCAACGTACACAAGTTATTCGTCACCCCCCAGGTTATTTTGCTGCAGCCGGACTTCGGCACAAGGAGACGGAAATGCTAATTACCCTGATGCCCTTATTGCATATTGCATACATGTATTGAGTTTTCACACTGTACCCAGTGTTATAGTTAAAGCTTTGTCCCAGGGTTTCATAAACTGACTTCCAGACCACTCGAGTATCATCAAATCAAGCCTTTATTGAAGCACATGGGTGGCGGCTGACCAGAACATAAAGCTGTTCCCCTGATCAGCCCCGAACAATTGCAAGGGCACTCCTTATAAGCCTGAAAACCACAAAAGGGATGTTCGGGAGTCTAGCCAATGCAAGCCAGCCAGGTTACAGAAGCGGGACAGTGCAGTCAAGCGGAGGGAAACCTAACCAATCACAGTTAGCCCAGTCACCCCAGTTACAGAAACAGAGCCCCGTCACCCTAGTTACAGAAACAATGCCCTATTAGGTAGTTCCGTGTTCTTAAAGGTTTCTATAGCAAAAGGAAAAGAACATCTTGCCCCAGTCATGACTCTTCTACTTGGCATGGTTGTTTTACAGGATGAAGTCATAAAACAAAATGGAGTCACATTTGCTCCTACTACCACACCAGTAAATATGCACAATTACTACGCAACAATTAAAAGGGAAAAATTAAGAACAATAGAAGATGCTAATTATAGATTCCAGAGCAGCTAGGGGCAAGTTAATTCAGAGCAGGGTCACAGTCAACTGTTGCCTGAATGGGGGAAAGTTCCGCTCCCCAAAGGATCCTCCTTCTGCCTAAACCAGTGGAGACACAAAGAAAACACTTTCAAATCTATTCCTAAGCTAAGCACCTAGAATCCATATCCCAGCAGATCTGTTGTATTCCACCATCTTCATTCTATAATATGCACTTCACTTCCCAGGGCTCCAGGATTTCATCCTAATAGGAAACTCCTTCAGATGCTGGCACTAGAATCTAAGAGAGAGAGGGAGAGGGAGAGGGAGAGAGAGAGAGAGAGAGAGAGAGAATATACCTGCTAAATTTCAGTCATAAACAGAAGTGAAAAAAAAAATCTCTCTCTTGGGATTCCTGGCATGGAGGATGGTATGGAGAAGAAATTTTTTTTATGGATTCTCAAAAAATGCCTTTGTATCCTCAGAAGAGAAACAGTCAACGTAGGTGTCCCTGCAGCACCTCACAGCTTGACCTGGAAGAATTCCAGCAGTGTTTCCTGAGGTTTGGAGTCTTCTGAAATATTCCACGGCTTTTTCAAAGTGTCACCCCATAGAGCTGGAATCGCTCTTGGACTTGCAGGACGGCCACCGCTGCACTTGGGCTTAGCAGCAAGGAGTGGCCGAGGACCACAGGGCCCCTCCAGGGCAAGCGCCATCAGCTACTAGGAAACACCAGGAAGTGCACCAGATGCTCTGGGCTTCCGTTTCCCATCTGTACCACGAGGGTGGTGGGGTCGTCTTACAAAATCATCCGGAGGAAGGAGGATCAGGCTGGATGCAAGAAACTGTGGAGTGGTTTAAGGAAGGAGGGTGGAA